TAATAAAGTTATCACAACGACTAACGATATTATCGACGGCACGACCACCAGTACGTCCGCATAGAAGGGCACCGACGGCGCAGACTTACTACTAGACAGTACTCCCGGCTCGTCGTCTGGAGGGGTATACAGGAGGTCAAAGGGAGGCAAAGAGAGATAGTGAGTGGTTGTGATATTATGGACAATAATTTGATACAAACCTTGCAGTGCGAGGGAAGATGTGGTGAAGGAGTACTGGGCTTCAGTACTTCCGGCCTCATTGAATGCCGTGATCTTAATATCATACGAAGTCGAAGGCATTAAATCACTCAAAACAATATGCTTTTGGTCTGTAAACGCCCGGTTAGACAGTGATATCCATTTACGACTCTTCGCAAGTTTATACATCACTTCAAACATATTTACGGGACAACCACCTGTCCATCCGAGCCATAGTAACACACAATCGCATAGAGAAAATGCAATTAATATTAATACAAAAAGTTTTTGAAGCCAACAATCAATTTAATATAATAGCGAGAAATTATTAACAAAACTATGTTTTGTGTGCAAAGAGAGTATCGATTGATAGATACCGTCGTGAAAGGCATCCAAGAATATGGTGGCAGTGGTTGTGTTGACGCTGAGGAGGGAGTTCTTATCGGGTGCCACAGGAGCAAGACGGGAGATGTCAAGGATTGGCTTCAAAAGGGAGAGATTGTGTTACAACCCTATCATAACTGTCTGTGGACTCAATGGGACGGCATTTTGTGCTCATTTTATTCTGAATCTAAACTCGCGATGCCGTGTGAGGTGACCCATACTATGATCATATCTACAAATGCATATAAATTAACTTAATTATGTTGCCTATGCATTGAAAGGGTGATTCTGGCACCGGTATAGTGCAGTATACGGACAAATACAATACTCAGGCTATACTCGTGGGCACAGAATCTGGTGGTAGCGCTCGCTATGCGGCCGATAAATCGTGTGATGGTTTGGCCTCATATTTCATCTCCACCTCAAAGATCATTGACTGGATATTTGAAAAGATTGAAAAACATAAAACTTAACCATAACTTCATTCATATATAATTTGTTTATATTTAATACTTGATACATAATTATATTTTAATAGTGATGTAAATGTAAAATAGTTTTTATATTGAATATATTCATTGACAATGAATCATTGTATTACAATTTGTAATTTACAAATGATTATCATTTACATAAGTAAATACTGTTAATATATTATAAAGGTTGTATTAATTTAATTGTATGGATTTTCCTGCATTAGTAATTGAATATTCATTTTTATTACAACTAATAATTCAAATACTGTTACATTTGTTAACCATTTTTCAATCAGTCAATCCGTATTGAATATAGTGTTTAAAGACTTTAGAGATTCGTATTATAAATAGTGTTCAAATGACTCACTATTTTCAACACCAATTCAGTGTCAAAATTGTAGTCATTATAGCATTTGTAGTGAAAAATCACATTTTGTGAGACAAAGGGATCGCTAAAAGTGGTTACAAATTGTCACAAAAGAGATCCAAAGAGTGACAAAATGCCTGTCATTTCATCGAAACCATACATCGCTGGAGACGTTGTCTTCAAATGCAAACCACTATTGGTTTATATTCACGACAAATACAAAGGAGAGTATTGCGACAATTGTCTCAAACCTATGGATCAGTTGAAGAGGTGTTCAAAATGTCGTCAAATGTATTATTGCGGCAAAAATTGTCAGACAATCGACTGGTCTTTCCATAAGAATGAATGCAAAGTCTTGAGAGAGAACAGAATCAATGGATTTCACCCAATCTTTATACCATTACTTCGAGTCTATCTTCGGATCAAAAATGACAAAACATTTGCGACCGAAAGACACACTTTGATTGACGGATCAGATGTTTGTCTCAATGATATGAATATCGCAGTCAATGTTAGGTGTATTTCAGAGGATGTGTTTGTCATTTGTCGACAATTCAAGAGTATTGGCATTGATTTTAAGGCCAAAGAGCTTAAGCGATGGTTTAAATTGGTATTAAAAAATACCAACAATATGTCCCGCGAAAGCGATGATCCAATGAGTTTTGACGCTACCATCGGAGGCGCCGTTTGTCCGCAGTTGTGGCCAATCAGTCATTCCTGTTCCCCAAACATGGCTTTCATTTGCAGAGGTATGTGTTATAATGGATTAGATTTGATGACAACCAATGAATTAATGGTAAATGTGATCAACAGATGGATAGATGGAAATCCGAGCCATGAAGTCGATAGCCATCGGCGAAGAGTTGACAACGACTTCGATTCCGTTGCATTGGGATTGCGATAAGAGACGCCAACTATTAAGTCAGTCACACATTGTCTGCAATTGCGATAAATGTAGACTACATTTGGATAAACACATGGATTATGAAGAATTTGGTGAACTCTTGAAGAAACACATGTCTCACTGGAATGGTTTCAAGTTTGGGTTTCAAGCTTTCAATTTCGCGAACTTCACGTACGAAATGGACTCCAAATTCATCGACTATTTGGAGGCAATGTATGGCGAGTTTCATCCGACGGTCACTCTCTTACTCTTGCAGTCATTCATATATTTCGCAAATTCAAAGAAAGCCAGCCATTCATTGCTCACACTTTGGTTCAAACGTATTGAACGGCACGTATTGGTCACCCATGGATCAGACTATCCCTGGTATGCAATGCTTCGCAACCAATTTGACAAATCATTGAAAATTTAAAACATTTTAATCTTTCTCTAATTATGTTATATTAAATTCCTAAATGTTTTTATGAAATAATTAATGATAACTTTAATTACATTACATTATAGTCATTATATCACATATTATAGTAATTGTAAAGAATACAGACTTTGATTGTGACATAACAGATGTTATCCTCTCTATTATAACCACAAATTCTTTAATATATATTATATAATCACAAAAATATATTCCGATATAAGAATCTCTTGTATTTCTATTCATATTGTGTTTGAAATAAATTGAGTTACACTTAAAAATTGATTTTTAATTATTTTATTCATAAAACTATCAAAACTTTTCAATATACCGGTATATTCAAAATATATTTCAAATCCGTTCCTTAAAAGGAGGTGTTCCCCCAAGAGAAGTTGCCCTAAGAGAAGTTGCACTGTATTTAATATTTGGTACATAATTAAATTTATAATATTTTAACAGTAATGTAAATATTGATTGGTATTAATATTGAAAATTTTACCGTTATCATAAAAAGCGATTAAAAACTTTAATAAATGTTTGATAAAATTAAATTTAGTAAAAGCTGACGTCATTTGTGGTAAAAATCACGTTTTGTGAGACAAAGGGATCGCAAAAAGTGGTCATAATTTGTCACAAAAGAGATCCAAAGAGAGACAAAATGCCTGTCATTTCATCGAAACATTTGATTCCCGGAGACGTTGTCTTCAAATGCAAACCATTGATGGTTTGGATTGATTACAAATACAAAGGAAAACATTGCGATAATTGTCTCAAACTTACGGATCAGTTGAAGAGATGCGCGAAATGTCTTCAAATGTATTATTGCGACAGAAATTGTCAGACAATTGACTGGACTTTCCATAAGAATGAATGCAAAGTCTTCAGAGAGAAGACAATCAATGAATTTGACGCTTTGTTTATGGCATTCCTTCGACTCTATCTTCGGATCAATAGTGACAATACATTTGCGACCAAAAGACACGTTTTGTTTGACGGATCACATGTTTGTCTCAATGATATCGATATCCATGTCTCACATATTCCTCGCAAAAAGCTTGCGATGATTGAGATATTTTTGCAACATTTGAAGAGTTTAGGCTTTATTATTGGCATCGATTTTAAGGTCACAGAACTTCTTCAATGGTTTAAATTGGTATTTGTGTCCACTTTTAAACTCGAAAGAAATACCGATAATGCCATCGATTTTGCCCAAAGTATTAGCGGCGCCCTATGTCTGGAAGTGTTGCCAATCAGTCATTCCTGTTCCCCAAACATGGCTTTTGTCCGCAAAGGTATCTTTGAATTACATTTTGATTACAATCAATGAATTAATAGTAAATGTGATCAACAGATGGATTGATGGAAATCCGTGCCATTAAACCGATAGCTATGGGCGAAGAGTTGACAATGACTTGGATTGAGTTATTCATGGATTGTGAGGAAAGACCTGAGAGACTGAAAGCTGGACTCAATATGTTTGGCTATAATTGTAATAAATGTAAACTACATTTGGATAAAGTCATCGATTTTCAAGAATTTGAACAACTCTTGGATAAAGAGACCAAACATTGGAACTCTTCTAAGTTAGGGATTCTTCACGCCTACGAAATGGACCCCAAATTCATTCAATATTTGGAGGCTATTTATGGAGAGTTTCATCCGTCGGTCACTTATTTCTTGTTGGAGTCATTCATGTGTTTTGCAAACTCGAAGGAAGCCAGCGATTCATTGCTCAGACTTTGGTTCAAACGTATTGAACGGCACGTATTGGTCACCCATGGATCAGACCATCCCTGGTATGCAATGCTAAGGAAACAATTCAACAAATCATTGAAAATTTAAGAAATTGTAATCTTTCTCTAATTATATTATATTATATTATATTCCTAAATGTTTTTATGACAATTTTTAATTACAATTACATTGCATATTATTGTAATTGTAAAAGAATCTAGACTTTGATTGTGACATAACAGATGTCATCCTCTGTATTATAACCACAAATTCTTTAGAATCACAAAAATATATTCCGATATAAGAATCTCTTGTATTTATCAGTATTTCTATTCATATTGTGTCTGAAATAAATAGAATTACACTTAAAAATTGATTTTAAATTATTTTATTTATAAAAATATCAAAACTCTTCAATATATATACTGTATATTTATAACACAATTGATAACAAATAATAATTACATTCATTTCTTTATAAAATGTTCGCTAAATTAGTTTTTATAAATGAATACAAAATGTTTAATACATTTATAAATTAAAATTACAAATAAAAAGTAAATAATAAATCCATCGATTTGTTTGAGGCATTTGTGGTCCATATTATAGCTATAAATGACTGAAAAATCTTATAAATGAATACAAAATGTTTAATACATTTATAAATTAAAATTACAAATAAAAAGTAAATAATAAATCCATCGATTTGTTTGAGGCATTTGTGGTCCATATTATAGCTATAAATGACTGAAAAATACACAAAAAAACATTAGTAAACGAAACGGAATCTCATTTCTTATCCATACCTTACAAATGAAGAGATCTTAAGTTTTGAGTTGAAATTTACAAATAATTTCAATAATAGTTATAATAATTGAGACGAGAATATAACAGAAGGGAGTGTTTTGTGTATTCGTAATGAGAATCACTTGTAGTGATGACTAGATCTGGAGGAGGAATCTCTTCTGCCATAAATGAGACCAGTTTGAGGATCACAGGCAAACAGTTTGACGGATTGCGGGTCGCTGTCAAACCTGACCACAGATGTGCGCCAGTGATGGCCCATATTTGAACCCTCGGCCACTTCGCACCCGCTGTCCGGCTGTACAGTAGCTATGGTTTTGGCGATGAAGTGGGAGAAGAAGATGACGGATAAGAGTTAATATTTGCGACAAATGAAAGGAAATAAGATGTGAGGATCTGATTACTGACTCGGATATTGATATATATGAACGTCAGAGCGGGGCTGACGGGGAGTGCGTTTGACGGTGGCGTATATGGCCTCGTGGTCTGCGTTATACTATAGAGTTGTATAAATACATGTATAAAAAGACATTAATAAAGAGATGCCAAACCAATGATGGTATTGATAACACTGATAACATGTATGACATATAAATGTTTGTCACAAATAATAATAATAAAGTAGTTCTTAATGGAAGTGTTGGGTTTCGCAAACACTTATGTAATAGTGGTCTACAATGTTATACAACAGCGAAACGTATAGATAAGGGCTATTGAATGGTTCAAATGAAATAATGGTTTGGTTTGGTTACAGATTTGAGTGGTGACTGTCGTGAGAGTGCGTTGAGTGGGACCCTCTCGTCGGTGTCGTTGACTTTGGTCATGGCGTACGGCGTCGGGAAGTGAGCCATACTCTGCTGGCACTGGTCTTCAGAAGGCATCGACAGCTTCTTGACGTGACTCGCATCCAATTCCGTCAGATTAACGGTTTCTGTGCAATATATATGAACGTCAGAGCGGGGCTGACGGGGAGTGCGTTTGACGGTGGCGTATATGGCCTCGTGGTCTGCGTTATACTATAGAGTTGTATAAATACATGTATAAAAAGACATTAATAAAGAGATGGCAAACCATTGATAGTATTGATAGCACTGATAACATGTATGACATATAAATGTTTGTCACAAATAATAATAATAAAGTAGTTCTTAATGGAAGTGTTGGGTTTCGCAAACACTTATGTAATAGTGGTCTACAATGTTAGACAACAGCGAAACGTATAGATAAGGGCTATTGAATGGTTTGAATGAAATAATGGTTTGGTTACAGATTTGAGTGGTGACTGTCGTGAGAGTGCGTTGAGTGGGACCCTCTCGTCGGTGTCATTGACTTTGGTCATGGCGTACGGCGTCGGGAAGTGAGCCATACTCTGCTGGCACTGGTCTTCAGAAGGCATCGACAGCTTCTTGACGTGACTCGCATCCAATTCCGTCAGATTAACGGTTTCTGTGCAGTCCTGTTGTGACACTTTGTTTGGGCTATAATTGGCTGATATGTCGACAACAAATACAACACAAATTAGTTATCAATTGTATGGCTATTATTGAATTGAATGAAAATACGGATTGAAAAACAAAAAGTTTATAGACTTTGATTTGTTTGGCGCAAAGCGTTTTCATTACACTTACAATATATATTAGATCCGTGTCTTGGCTTTCGAGTGAATATCACATAAACGAGTGATAATAAAGTTATCACAACGACTAACGATATTATCGACGGCACGACCACCAGTACGTCCGCATAGAAGGGCACCGACGGCGCAGACTTACTACTAGACAGTACTCCCGGCTCGTCGTCTGGAGGGGTAGAGGGGTATACAGGAGGTCAAAGGGAGGCAAAGAGAGATAGTGAGTGGTTGTGATCTTATGGGCGATAATTTGATACAAACCTTGCAGTGCGAGAGAAGATGTGGTGAAGGAGTACTGGGCTTCAGTACTTCCGGCCTCATTGAATGCTGTGATCTTAATATCATACGAAGTCGAAGGCATTAAATCACTCAAAACAATATGCTTTTGGTCTGTAAACGCCCGGTTAGACAGTGATATCCATTTGCGACTCTTCTGTAGTTTATACATCACTTCAAACATATTTACGGGACAACCACCTGTCCATCCGAGCCATAGCAACACACAATCGCATAGAGAAAATGCAATTAATATTAATACAAAAAGTTTTTGAAGCCAACAATCAATTTAATATAATAGCGAGAAATTATTGGCAAAACTATGTTTTGTGTGCAAAGAGAGTATCGATTGATAGATACCGTCGTGAAAGGCATCCAAGAATATGGTGGCAGTGGTTGTGTTGACGCTGAGGAGGGAGTTCTTATCGGGTGCCACAGGAGCTGAAGAGGAAAGAGGCAGACAATAAAACCACTGATAAGACGAGTATTTCATTAGTTTTTAGTTCAGTGTTTGAATAGCACTGAACAGAGCAAAGAGAGGAAGAGTTTGTATGTTTTGCTATGAGTTTTCTCTCCCAAAAAAGGCAATAAAACAACTAAAAAATCAAAATAAGTATTTGAAAAAATGTAATAAAAGTGTAATAATGGCCAACACTTAAAAGATAACCAAAAGAGTAGATGTGTTTAGATTTGGGCTCAAGAATTCAATTCACTATAACATCAATATATAGTATTTTTCTCATATCAACGCAAAAAAAGCTAATGAAAAAACATTTTGTTTCGAGTCATTTGAGGCAAACATTTCAATGACTAGTTTTTGGGGCTTAAAGTTATTTTTGATAAAGAAATTCAATAAATATAACATAAATTTTACATCACTTTTCAAAGCCCAAAATAAAACACTTGACAAACAAACTATGGATTATTTAATGTATAAAAATATTTTCAATTCTTTCATTCGCCGATTGTTCACGAATTTTATAACTTATATTTATAATTATTCCCATCAATAATAATAATACTGTAAAATGTAAATACTTTTTGTGTGCTTTAACTCAAAACTTAACTGTCATTAAATGACAATTTATTTAAGTTTCGTCTCAAATACTATTTATTTGAAATATTGATCTCAAGAGCGCTATTAAGACTTAAATTTAATGTTTAGATACTTTAAATAGCAGTTATCTAAAAGCTATAGAAAATGGCAATTTTTACTACATTTCTATTGCTCTCCGGAATAATCTTCAATTCTGGGGATTAAATAATATGCTTTAAAATTAGATAACATTTTTCTTAAATGTAAAATGCACTAAATTTTATAACACAAATAAAGTATTAAAACAATATAACATCCAATAAAAGCCAATTCATAAATCAGTTCATTTCACATTAAGAATTTGGTTTTCAATATTGAATTTTGGATAATTCTGTCAGCAATTAAGTGTTTAGTCAAACAATTCTTATAGACGTATATTGAATATCAGATTATGAATACATAGAAGAAAATAACAAAACAAGTGATTTAATAATACAAATGAATAAAACTTATCAAAGGAGGCAGAAATAGGTAAGAATTGGCAAAAATAGTATTATATAAGGAATAAGAAAATAAAGAGTATATGAATGGTTTGGATGGTATGGATGGTTGTGTTTCACTTACAGGCGCCTTCAGTCTTGGCGGACACAATACTGGACGCATCGCTTTTGCCGACAGTATTGAACGCAATTAAGTAGTACTGATATCTTGTGCCACATTTGAGCCATTGGTGAGCATAAGATTTAGTGTCAGTTAATCTCAATTCATCCCAATCTGCAGATTCCCTCTTGTGATGGAGAATAAAGCCTAACCCATAATAAGGCATAGAAAAAGGGATATAATGAAAACGACGGCATTATTTTTTATTACAATTATAGATAGATAGATAGGGATAGAGTTGTGTTTGGATTTTGTCGTACAAAACAATGTGTAGTATCAGTGAATTTAAGTCATTGTTTCGGGCGAATAATATATATCAATAAAGGGTATGGTTTATAGTGTATGGGTTGGAGTGACTGACCGGTGGCGGGCGTGGAGTCGTCGGAATTCATGATCCATGAGAGCTGTATTGAGTTTGTAGTGGCGCTCAGGACTCGCAGAGTTGGGGTCGACGGCGGATCTGACGGTTTAATCACATTAAATAGAAATTATTTTCAATCCCAATCACATTATTCACGATAAAACTTAATACTATTGTAATGTATTATGTGTTTCACATTAAAACCTTATCTCTAAAGAATGAAACTTTATTTTTATGTTATTTTTTGTTGTTTTGTGTGTTTTTTGTTTGCCTGAAAAAGCCATACGTTTCTCTTATTTTGACGCAAAATTAGATTTATATTTAGAGCCCTGTTTTGCAGACATTTGCAGATAATCCTAATCTGTTTCAAGTCATACATCAAACTAATTAATGAAAATAAAATATATTTTCCTTCTCTCCAAACGACTGAATAATTCAATTATAGTGTAAAATAAATTTTCGTGCATTTCGTCGGATATTGTTATCGAAAAAGCGTTTTCACTCAATATATCTCTATTTGAATAAACTTTTCAGACAATAAACGATAAGCTAATGGATAGGGAGTACGAGAAAATCAAAATCTGATTAAAGCCTAAAAAGGCTAAATAAAAATCGTTTGTCAGCTGAATATTCCGACACTAAATATAATAATAAATTAATTGTATTCAAAAATTTCTATTTTAAAATAACGGAAATTAAAATTTTGTTTTAATTCAATACATAATGTGCTGTAAAAATACAGTAAAGTCTGCGATAGAGAGTTTGCACTGTATTTGCATTTTATATGCTAAACAAAAAGACTTGACTTAAAAAATGCAGAGCATATGTGTGTCTGTGAACTAAATGAACAAAAATCTGGACCTTTTTCCACTAACTTTTGACTACAAAACAAATTCAATTTAATAAAACACTTTTCGGAGAAAAAATTCAGAATGAATTGTGATATCAATTGAAGGGAATTGAAGAAAAAAGCTTTAATTCTATAGAAATTGTCGTCAAAATTAGATTCAGTTGTTGTGTATAATCGAGTGGAAAGAGGGCTTAGAATCAGAATAAATGAAAAGTGAATTTCATTTCTCATATATCAAAGAAGAAGACGATCGACGAGAGAGAGAGAGAGAGAGAGAGAGAGAGAGAGAGAGAGATGAGCGACAGTGAAAGGCATTAAAGTATTACCCATTTCTAAAGTTTTGACAAAAGTGGGCTCAGATGAGGGTCCGGCGCCTTTGCTATTGTATGCCTGGACTATAATTTGATATTTCGTTGAACGCGTCAATTCATTTACAGTGCATTCCTCGACAATCGCCTCATTCTTGACTTCCAGTGTCTTATAGACAAAGTCTTTATTCAATTGATCCAAATTTGCCGATTCAGACGTTTTGTATCCGATATAATATCCTAGGATTAGGCCGTACTGGAGGTCTTTGCGGGGAGGCTTCCAACTCACCTGTGGTTTCAATAAGAAAAACATTGTATTATTTAATCAATTATTCAAATCAATCGCCTTTTTTGGCCAAATGTATGCCGTTTTCCGAATTTAAATTTAATAATAAATATCAATATTTTGCTGAAAACCGTTCATTCAATATAAAAATATAATACAATATTTAGTTTGGGTTCCAATGAATAAGCAATGATTTCTAAACAAAATTTAAAATTCATTGAATTTATTAAAGAATAAATATAAGTATATTTTCTCTCAATAAAGTTATCAAAAGTGATTATAGGATTAAAAACCGAGGTTTTATTCAGTATAAAAGTTAAGTAAAATAAATTGAATGCAATTCATGTGACATGAATTGAAAACCTAATGGAAATATTGTATAATTTTTTAATAATAAAAACACATTTCAATCAATTGTTTGGATATAAGAGCGAAAAAATTGTGGATTAAAAACACGAGTGAATGAACACAATGTAAGGGAAAAAACCAAAAAATAAATATCAATAAAATCATATTTATTTCATCCAAACCTTAATCGATTTTGAGCTCAACGGCACGGCTTTGATATGTAATGGCGGACCGCCCGGTGTCTCTTCAATTGTCTTGAGGACAATCACTTGACTCGACTCACTCTTCCCGAGACCATTAATGGCAAACACTCGGATCTGGTAAACGGTGACAGGTCTTAGACCTCCCACCAGAACCGATGTCTCAGACGCCGATACGGTTACGTTAGGCGTACGAGTCGTCCATTTATCTGATCAAATCAAGCGATAAATTATTGGTTTTTATTTCGCAAACTATATGTTAAGAACTGAAGTCTGATATCTTCACTAAAATTCCTCTCAGATTTATGGCTATTTTTCAAAAATTTTTAAAAATATATATTTTGATAAAAAATAAGAGAGAATGTGAGCGAAAGAAATTGCAGACAAAAAATTAATCAAATAAGTGATGAAATATGATATATGTTTGATGGTTACCGGTGTCCAGTTTGTATTGAACCATATATTGTATAATAGGACTGTTGCCACTGTATGGGGGAGACCATGATATTCTAGCGGATCTACCATCATGCTCTAATATCTTCAGATCCGACGGCGCGTCCGGAGGTTCTGGTGTTAGATATTAAATGGCATTAAAAGCTTAGTCTTTAATATAAAGTATTCAATCGATTTTGTTTTTAAACCCTATGGTTCTAAAGGTTGCGTTAAATCTCATGTAAAAACATGCAAATTATAGACTAAAAACACAAATTAGATTAAAATGTCACTCAAAATAAGTCGGAAAAATAAATCTCAAAATGAGTGCATTGTATTAGAAAAACGAGTAGAAATTTTTATAATTTCTATTTTTGTTAATTAAATTAATTTTAAAATGTGTTGCAAAGCATTGATACCCTGCATAATGAGCTGAATGTTGGTGTCGTCGTGTCCGTAAGCATTGGTCGTCACACAACTAAATAAAGCGCTGTCTCTTCGGTCGGCGTTTCGGATAACTATCTCTGATTTGATTCCCTCGGAAACGATGGCCTCCAAGAGCTCATATCGGGGGTCATCGCGAGGATTGAACGTTAGCTTGTCTTTGAGCCACGAGATAGTGATGGGTCTATGGATCAATGAAAACAATTATAAAATAAATTAATTTTTGAAAAAACAAACACATGTCAGGACTTACTTGTCTCCAATGGCTTCGCATCTAATTCTCGCTTCGAGTCCTTTCCTCACAGTTTCGGCTCTGAATTTAGACTCAAAATGTGCGGCAACTGAGAGACAGAAGAGGCAAACATTAATAATGTTTTACACTGTGTTTTAGTTTTATGAAGAAAATAATGTAAAAAGCATTTATCATGTGTTGAGGGGATAAGTGCATAAAAGCGGTGATGAATGCATACCATTGACAGTAAGTTTGATGACTTTGCTGAGTCCGGCGCCGATGCCGTTAGTGGCGGCACACATATAGTAGCCGCTGTCGGCCCTCTGGGCGTTGTGAACGGCGAGCGACCCGTTCTCGTACGGACGCAAATGCGAGTTCGATGTAATCGACTTAAACTCGTTGGGCGGCTCTCGGAGTAATCCTTATGACAATATTATGACAAACATATTGAAAGCTTTAGTTTTTTTTCTCTCGGATTTAACTCAACGAATATTTATTTATAAATCGCTTTTAGAGACCAAAAGCAAAGACAAAACGAAAACAGATATAAATATGAAAACAGAGGCGAAAAACAAATTTATATTTATATATATTTCTCTTTTCTGCACTCTTTTGTTAGGGATTTTGTTGTCGACGGCTTTGGTATATAAGGTTTTATCCCAACATAACATACATTTCTCTTTCCTTTTATATATATTTTTTTTGTCTTTCGTAACAAAAATACATTAACTTTTATTACGAAAAAATTTAATAAAAGTAAGAGATTTCCAAAAACGGAAAAATTTATTTTTTTTCAAAGATATACTAAATATACTTTTTATATACAATATAGAGATTTGTTTGTTTTATTTGTATTCCGTTTTATTGAAGCAATAATTCTTGAATTATTCAAATTTATTTGATTTTGAATGCAAAATAAATACATTTTTTAAGTTGAAAATTTCAGTTTTATATTTAAATTCACGAATTTTCTATATATTGTCGTCTGTATCGAGAGCCAAATACAACATGTAATGCAAACATGAGCTCAAAATAAACACTAATTGAAAAACAGTTAAAATGTTGTTAACAATAATTAAATGTCATTGTATTTAGACTTCAAGTCCTGATTAATGTAAAGCTAATCATTAATTTAATTTTGTTTTTATGGTAATTCGAGCCCTAATTCTGATTAACACATACACTATATATTGAAATTCAATTTCAAATTATTAGTTATCCCTTAAACACAGGATTTCTGTTTACTTATAGCACAGAATCTGTAGTGAAATGTAATGTTTGCATTCAAATAACATTAGCTGCTATGCAGTGAAGTGCTCTTATAGTCGAAAGTTAACCATTATTTCTCACAATAATCTCTCATTTTATACACATTTTTAATTAGATCTCATGTCTGAAAATAACATCATTTTTAATCTATGGTTCTGTTATTTCAAGTCTTTTTTGTCAAAAACCTAATTATAATGTAAAAAACAAAACACTTTTTTGCGGACTTTTTCTTTAATTATCTTAAAATTTTAATCAAATAAAAGAAATAATTGAAATATAAAGACAAACATAAAAATAAATAGCAATTTGTGTTTTAAAGTCACAAAAAAGGAGTAAAAATTATTTTGAAATTCAAATCAGACTAAAAGTCATTTCACGGATTGAATGCCATTAATGTTTTGCAACGAATAGTTATTTTGCAAACAAATTCTGTTTCGCAAAACATTTCATCGCAAATATATATCTCAAGTAATCTAAAAGACTATTCGTTTCATTCTTCTGGCATTCATTGCCTTAACATTCAAACTAAAAGCCATTTTATTTTCCATCAGATTCTTGTTGTTGTTGTGTTGCCTTCAATACAATCCGTCTCTCTCTCTCTCTCTCTCTCTCTNTCTCTCTCTCTCTCTCTCTCTCTCTCTCTCTCTCTCTCGAGTTAATCCTACATTTATTTGAAGTCACGTCTTAAAAATGTAATATTTCTGGAAATCCAATTAAATTAGAAATAAAGAGAGATTTTGTGCACGAATTATGGGATTTTAAAATATTTTGCGTATTATAATAATATTTTTAATAATAAAAATGTTGAGGTTTTGTTTGGCATATAAATTGTTAATTAGAAAACTAAATTGAAATAAATTGAATTGTCTTAATGTGTGAATTGATGTGTTTTCAGTGCCCCCTCGTTGGCGAATAGAGCCCATCGACACGTCTGTAGTGAAGGGCAGGAATGCTATTATCGATTGCGATACCGATGCCTATCCTCCGCCCACTATTAGTTGGTCGAGAGCTGAAGGTAAGCCTAAGACATACACCATATGAGACATTATTTCGCTATCTTTCCACTTGATCTCTATATTCCGCACTCTTTTTGTACTAATATTGAAAAGATTTTTGTCAAAATCGAAATTTCCTAAACGATAACAATAACTATAAAACGACTCGGAGTTTGACTCTAGAAAAAAGGAGAGCTTATTATGCGGTAGTCTTACACTCACGACATAAAAGTGAAGTACAGATAAAGTGTAAGCAAAAGCCGTATCACAAGAGTTATATATTTTGCATTGAATTGAGTGAATATATTCTTTGATCACTATTTAATGATAGGAATAGATATACTTTTATTTATAAATTTGTTCGCCATTTAGTGTTTGTTTTTTGCTGTTATTTTTTTATTCAGAGAGAGAGAGAGAGAGAGAGAGAGATTTAAGACTCATTAAAATTTGATTTATCAAAAAATCTTCAGTTGAAGAAAAAAGTATAAAACAACAAAAATAACAACTCATTCTTCAAATGAAAGCAAAAATAAGTGATAGTAGTGTGAAATTCTGGGCTCAACTCATAGATTGGCGCAAAAAATATAATAATAAAAAAATAATGAAAAACTTTGAGTGAGATATAAGGAGGAAAAAAATATTTCTAATAATGTATAGTATGTTTGGCTCAACCCATACCGTGTATAATCATTGAGGCACTATGACTGCTACTTCCAGCTGCGTTTGAGGCCACACATGTATAATTGCCTGTCCGATGGATATAATAAATTCAATATTATATTTATGATATACAACCGATCGCATAAACGATGTGTTGTTTTTATAAAAATTTATAATTAAAATGTCATCGATGAAAATGCCATTGTATGACACCGTATGACATGACATACCCCTGTGGTCGGGCTGTACGGACTCGAAGGCCAGTGTCAGCGAGTATTCCGTCACATGAATTAAATTAGTTTTGCTTAAGAATCCATTCGTCAATTTGTGTCCGTCTTTATACCACTCGATCTGAGTTTTACAAGAGTTTGTGATTTTGTTTTTGTTTTATCGGACACATAAGCGATGAGAGAAGAGAATAAAAGTTCAGATCGAAAACAATTTGTTTGTAAAAAGTAAAAAGTTTTTACATTTGTTTTGTCAGTAATAGTAATGAATTTTGAGAAACAATGAAAGTGAAAGGAAAGGAGAGAGAGAGAGAGAAGTGAAGAATAGATACCTGAATTGGTTGATCGCCTTTGACAACAGTACACAACAAATTATATCGTTGTGATTGATGTAAGGATTTGGGAAAAATAAACGGTTCAATGATTGGCCGCACTGTTGGGATAACACCAGAAAATACCATATGAGACAACAATTTGAAATATTATACAATATTAACACTAATTATTTATTGCTATTATTCTACACGTATAGCGATTACTGATAGTTAAATCTCAACGCATTGTCTAAATTGAGTTTTTAAGTTATGGAAAAGCATTAGTAGTTAAATAGCAGTTATTTAAGTGATAATTTGAATGAATGTACAGTAATTATAGCGATTAAAACACCAACAAAAACATAAATTATTAATGTATGACATAATGTAATGATTAAAATCAATGGTCATTAGAAAAAATGAGAACCATTAGGGGTTCCATAAGTATAGTTTAGTGTTGAAGTGGTTTACATTATTAATAGTGTTTAATATATATTATATTTTTAATATTTGTTTTTCACATCAATTAACTTTCGGGAGTGAAAGGGAGAGAAGGGATGGAAAAAGGAAATAAATTTATGGCCAAAGAATGCTCTAAATTAATAGACTTTTGTCTTATCTATTAGCAAACATATGGGCATATCGTATACCACCTAAAAATGTTTGCACAAAATAGTCACTCAAATCACTTTCTCACTGCTATTATATAATGTATAACACAATAGGAGTGTTAACGCCATTAATATAATAAAAATACATTTTCACCCCAAAAATGGTTAGCGAATGGATAGGGATGTGAATGTCGAAGGCGTTAACCATTGATTAAATATTTATAAATAGCAATAAACGCGAGAGTTTTTTAAATAAAATATGTATTTTGAATTGACTTTTATATCACTATATGTCTTACCCAACACTTGCACGTATAGGTGTCCCTGAGCCGACTTCGCATCCTTGGCCTGTCGTGCGATACACGTATACCGGCCCTCATCTGTGGCCCTCTCCAGATCCACAACAGTTAGTGAGCCGTTTGGGAACACCTTTTGCCTGTGATTGTATGGCAGACGTACTCCTTCTGCACAATAAAACCGCATCAAACAAGTCATCAATTAGTTTGTCATGTGTTTGAAAGTGTAAAATACAAAAATTTTTACTACAAAATAGTTTTGCGCACAACTATATCATCGGATGTTAGAGCAAAAAAATTGCTATTTTTCTTAAAAAACAAAACACTTCCTCTCCTTCTTCTTCTCGTGAGTCTCTCTTCAGTCTCTCAAACACAACATTAAGTGTTGCGAAGAATTGGGAGAAAGATTTCTCACAAAAAATGATACACTTGTCTGAACTGTTTACCTCTCGTATCAATAACTATAGAGAATTGGCCGCCGATTCAGTATTTCATTGCCAATTATGCGCTCAAAAACGCATTTTTAATACGAGAATAGTTTTTTCTGCTTTTCCTTCTGGGCCTGAATTGTGATTACAATTTGCGATCCCATTGTCTGACTGAAAATGTGAGCAGAAATCTCCCAATTATGAGGTGAAAGGCATAAGTGATGTCAAGCAGAAAATAGAGGAAAAGTTTGTCCTAAAGTGTCATTTGCAGACATTATATGGAAAAGGCATACAAAGCGCTGGCAGTTAATAACAAGTTAGCGTCGGTTTCCCTAAACTTCATAGGCTTTTATGTCAATGTATTAAAAATGATTTGTCCCTTCAATGCCTGCGCGGCTCATATCATATCATATATATTGGGTTTAAATTAAATTAATTTATGAGACAAACGTGTCGTTGAACTTATCATACGATTCATTAATGACGCGTAAACTCAACACAACTGAGAGTTTTTCATTGTTATGAAATATATTGGTCTTCAATAGTGTACTCATAGTTATAGTGTATACGCAATGAATCGCATCGCATGGGAGAGACAAACACAGGATATAATGGTTAGACAAGTGAAGGCAATGAATACCAAAAGTGTATGGCATACGAGTGCCACAGTTAGAGATGACAAGTGCTTGAAAGGCATCCATTCATTATATAAATAGCATGTAATTGAGGCTCAAAACAAACTCTAGATAAAAAAAACGAGGACACAAATGCTAATCACGAGTAATTTTCTAAACGTTTAATTAATAGCACTGCAAATGACTAACACTTATCTTTCAAATACAGAATTAAAGGCAAAAACTCTTGAGAAGAAGAGGAAGAAGAAAACCCTCTCTTATTACTGTTTTTTGAGCAGTTTAAGAACAGGCAATAAATGTAATCTAAACACCGATTATAAACGCGATTTTTATGTTATATTTGCGAAAAGCTGTGTATTCGCTACTCTTTTACGTAATTATTTGTCGTCATATTTATGTTAATCTCCAGCGGAGAGAATATAATGTTTAATAATAGCTAATACTTTGCGACACATTACAGTTATGGAGAGAGGGTATATTACTGTAGTTATCCTATAGGTGGCCATCCTGTCCAGTCACTGTAGGCGAGAGGGCGGTGTCGTCAGTACAATCCGTACCCAGATTACGACCCGAAAGGCATGATATTAATGCGAGCCGTGTGTCCAACAGCGGTCACATCATTGGCTGCCGAACACGTATATAATCCTCCATCTGTTTCAATAAATATCATTAACGTCTTATAATAATGGCTCAAAACGATAGGCGATTATTACAGAGATTAGTCTTCACTTACCCTCAGATGTAATGCTGGATATATTGACATAACTGACGAGCAGAGCCTCGCGGGTCACATAATCGCCAGTCCTATACCGGGAACTCTCGGGCACCGGTATGTTGTCGTACAGACGCCAAGTGACCTGAGGTATGGGATTACCGGACGCCACACACTGTTTAAATTAAATGAAAAATGTTATATTGTTTTAATGTACCGTCAATTGAATGTGTGCTCAAAATAGTTGGTTAATAAACAGAGAGTAAGTGTTTAATCAATTTATTAGAGAGAAAGTCGGACTCAAATTAACTCAAATGAGTAGTTAATGCGATAAATATAATACTCGCCGTACGCTATGATAGGGCGACGGTATATATACATGTCTCCATATATTGAGTCCATTGTGTTGTGGAAAATAATAAAACTTATGTTTCCGCTCATAATTAGGAGAACTGTTATGTTTAGTGCTATTATAGCGAGTAATACATCATAATTAAGAAACATAACTCGTCTCTGTTTTTCTAAGCATTATATACACGAATATTATGTTTCAATTGCATTAAAATCCTATTTGTAATTCAATTTATACGACAGACACCACACATACAGTGCCGTACACTCGGAGCTAACTATAGATAAATATATGTCTGAAGTAATGCCTTAAATAAATGTCAAATCAAATAATGAAATCTACATTCAAAACAGGCTATAATTCTTATGCCATATCTGAATGTAATTATAAAGTGAGCGCAACTAATAACTAGTTCATTACAATTCACGCCTAATATCTATAATAAAGGCAATGATTTACTTATTTTTAATTCTTCACAGCCATTGAATCGCTCGACAAAAAGATTCCGTATTCTCTATGTGTTGTAATAATAATAAAATTTTCGCAGAATTTATGATTTTCTCAATTAAGAGATACAACACAAACACACGATTTATGTTTCGCTCATCTCTTATTCAAGTAATCCGTAAATTAAATTATTTGGAAAATAATTATAACCCTAATCTATTTATTGTGGCAATAAATTTACTATTTTATATATGAATTATATTTTTATATTTATTTCAAGTAATATAATCCTCAAACCGATAGTGAGATAACTGTATGTATTGTTTGAGTTAAAAATTATTAATTTTAAAACACATTAATCAATATTGAAAGCACTTGGTATTTGTTTGATGTATAAATTGCAAAGTATTAAGTCGACGAGTATAAGCTAATACACTCGTGGTATAGATTATAAGCCATTATGTAATCAATAATATTGTTTATTTTGTACAATAAGTATATAATATATAATTGAGTTTACGTTTGATTAAATTGAGTTCAAATAGAGAGCCCACTCTTTCAAAGCTAAAATGTTTCGTGATTTACAAGTATTGGAGAGAATTTTGTGGCAAATCATTGTCTGAACGCTCTTTGCATTACATTATAAACAAATGGATAACAATAACAACATTTTGTGTTTAGATTTCCTTTTCAGTGCTTTTTGTTGTTTTTCTATTGTGTTTTGTTTTAGTCTTTGTATTAAAATCTCTCGTCGATTGCCATTCAATCGACACAAAGACCTGAAATGAGATTCAGAGATGTCTATAATCTTATTGTAAACGATTCCGAAAGTATTTTCTCAATCGGAAAAACTAAAGTCATATGTTTTGGCATAAAATCGCATCAAAAGCCAAAAACACGAATAGATAGGGAATGAAAAGCGAGTATTACTTCAATGTATTGTATAAACAAAAGTAATGCTTAAGTAATGGAAAACAAAGACAAGAATACGTGTCGCATAAGAAAGTACACTCATGTGAAAAATTAATGTAAAATTAAGTTTCAAATTAACAGCTAATTATAAAATCAATTTTTTGCAACACTTTTGTCAAAGAAAGCAACAAAAGAAAATTTCATTAAAACAGTGTTAATATAAGTTATACAACAATTATATTCAGTGTATGTAATTGGCATACCTTTAATGATAGTGATTGACCCGGTTGTAGGGTCTGCTCGGAAAACGTTGACAAAAACACCGGCGCGTCGTCTGAATGTACCGTTAAATTGAGTGATAAAACAGCAAAAGAAAAGATAAACAAAGAATTAAATGAAAGACAAAAATAGACAGAAAAAACAATAGAGAAAGAGTCAAATGTAAAGTGAGTTATGCATTGAATTTTGATGAGAAGAGATGGGAGGAGGGAAAGGAGAGAGAGAGAGCCCTCGAGTGGAGAGAGTGGACGTCGGGAAGAGTTCGCAACTGAATTGTACGGTTTCGGGCACTCCAGTCGTGTCGCTCCAGTGGCTACACAACGGCCAACCCATTGCCACCAACAGTCGCATCCGATTACTCGCCAAAGATGTGCTCCACATCTCAAACGTCGAGCGCCGCGANGAGAGAGAGAGAGAAAGAGAGAGAGAGAGAGAGAGAGAGAATGAAGTGATGATACCTCCTAGCTCAATTTGTGCGCTCGCCTGCACTGAATCTAAATCATTGTGGGCTAAGCACTGATACATCCCTTTGTCGCGGCGCTCGACGTTTGAGATGTGGAGCACATCTTTGGCGAGTAATCGGATGCGACTGTTGGTGGCAATGGGTTGGCCGTTGTGTAGCCACTGGAGCGACACGACTGGAGTGCCCGAAACCGTACAATTCAGTTGCGAACTCTTCCCGACGTCCACTCTCTCCACTCGAGGGCTCATTTCGGCCGATAGTGAGGCTATTATGCGATAAATAATATATCAATATTTAGGTAAAGAAACAATTTTATTGCCATTCAGTTATATCTCAGTGAATATATCTCTCTATTGAGAATACAATGTGTGAATGTATTGCGTGTAATAGTGTTAGGAAATGGTGTGTATCACAGTTTATATGAGTTTCAGATTGTCTGCAAATGCCATGAATTATCGGCCGGAAAACAGTGTTTGAAAGTCATATACACTGACGGCTCGCTTAGAGAATCGACACAATCCATGAGTAAAAGCAAAGAATTTAAAATAAAAATAACAAAATTCGCTTCAAATACACAATGAATGAGCAGAAAAAGAGCCATTCATTTAGTGCTACATTCAATTGAGAAAAATTTTATAAATTTATACGAATTATACATTATATAAGAGAAATGATATACAGAAATATATTTTTCTTTATTAAACATTAAAGTAAAATATGTTGCAATTGATAATAAAAGTCAATAAGTTTTGATACATTCCTTTCATATATAATATTATATATTTTTGATGACATTTGCAAACATAGGAAATACATTAACTCTTAATTTGGATTTAAAGCTTAAGATTTATACAAATAATAGTCAACCAAAAGAAAGAGAAACAAAGATTTATACAAATAAAG